TTCTCGGACACGTGCAATGACTGAAAGGTGAAATGAAAATGTGGTGAAATAAATTTGATGTGTTGCCACCTTTTGTGGTCACAGTATTTTTGCACGTTTTGTAAATTGCAGTCGTTTGTTTGGAGTCTGACCTTCTATATCCAAAAAACTTCCACACTACTGATGTAGCTCCCCTTTCAGGAACTAATTCATCCCCAGCGCTAACTCCGGTGTTACGGTAAATTCAGTTCCCCCTGTTCCCCCTCATTGCGCATGTCGAAATCATGACGTCTTCAATTGACGCTGCTCTGCGGGGCTTAGATAGGCTTAATTCGTTTGTGTTTGTACCATTATTTCGTCCTATTCTTCACGGTAAGCGAATTATAACATTGTTTGTAGAATGACTTGTAGTTAAACACGTTTTAAGGTATAAAATGTGTTGTTAGCAGATGTTTTAATGCTCAAACACTACGTGGGTTATCTTGCTAATGCTAGCTTTGGCTCCGTTTTCAACTACTCCGAGTTTACTGTAACACCGGTACTACTCTCTGCTTAGTCTGTCTTTTTTTTTTTTTACTTTTAGCGTCATGCGCGCTTGCGTGCAATATTGCGATATGGCAAAAACATTTAAAAATGTACTGGTATTATCGTGAACGATATTATATCGCCCTCCCCCTACTTATTAGTCTGGTTTCTACTTTTAAATAGCTCTGTAAAAGATAAACAAGGCTCACGTTATTACAGCTCATGCTATGACTATCACAGAATACTACAACTCATTCAGAGTTGAGTTGGACTAATGTTTGCATCGCATGAATTCTGCTCTGGTTGTTCAGACGGAGTCGCATTACCGCAATTCGGGTACGTCGGATTTCAATGTCAGATTCAGTATGTTTTTTTGCCCCCCGTTTACATTCCCACACAGAACACATCTGTGTCATATATGATTTGGGCTGCTTTAATCTACTGTGTAAACGTAGCCCATAACACTTCACTGTGTAAGCAGACCCTCTTCACTGCCAGCTTGAGTCATTTGTTCATTAGCAGGGCAGCGTATACTATGCTTATGTCACATGGTATCAGCTGGTACCAGATGTTGGTATCTGTAAATTTGTATGAGTAAAAGTACAAGTAATTGGTATCGATGAAGCCCTACTACAGACTACATTTACATTAAACCCCTGAGTTTTACAAAGAATTTAGGTAATAATAAATAATCTTTCCTCAAAATCCTGAAAAAATCCACTTTCATTAAAAGTAAGGCAGCTTTTACAATTCTATAATACATTGAAATCAAGATGTTATCAGGGAACTCCAGTGCAATGTTGAAAAACACCTCCCCAGATACACATGGAATAAGTTTTGTGTAATTTTGCTGTTTCAGTTTCGAGTAACATCTTCCCAAATGTCAGAATAAATCAAGTTTTATTACATGGTGTATTTAGGTTTTCATAAAATATTTAAATAAAGCTTTTAACAGGGAACTTTGCAAAGTATTGCAGAGGTCTTGTTCAGAATTTAAGTAGCAAAATAAAACGTAGCTCATAACCTTATATGTTAGAAAGTGTTTTTAAACACTGCAGTGGAGGTTTCTGATAACTGTACTTTTCGTCCTTTGTTGGAGTTGGGGCTGCAACAAACGACTAATTTGATAGTAGAATAATCTATCGATTACTGAAACAAATAATTGATTATTATTATGAATTACTATATTTCCAAATAACACTTATGTAGCTGTCAGCTTTTAAATTTGGCTTTTTTTGTTTTATGCATTTGTTAACTAACAATAAAGACGCATAACCTGTTTAAAGATTTACTAATTTAATGAACTTTTCTGCAAATACAAAATATAAATAAAACTCCAATATCGTTTTCCCTTTTAGAATTTAAAACCAAGGATGTGCAAAGTACCAGCAATAACGTATAACAAAACTAAAGCAGTTTTCTCTCAATCGAGTAAATAAACAAATCATCTAAACAAACTAAATTTAAATTTTAAATATAAACTGTGCTCTGTGCATTCTGCTGTCTATCTACACTCTGTTGCAGTTGAATTCTACAATCACATTTTGAAACAGAGGAGAGTCAGCATCTCTCCGTGCTCCTGTGAGAGGCTCGCTCTCCTCTGAGAGCAGATATTCACCGCTGCGGAGAAGATGTGCTCCGATGGAGCGGAGGGGAAAGTGGCGAATGTTTGTGGCAAACTTGTTGTCTATGAGCAGTTAATTGAACAATTTTGTGTAAACATTTCTTTTCAAGAGTAGCCCTTCGTCCAGCTGCCTTGTATGTCCGCTGAGAACTAGCTTGTGAAACTGTTTGCGATTGGTGCCGAATTTGAACGCACCGGTGGCCTCGATGTTAAGCCGACGATGCAGTGTTTAAAACTGTAAACATTATCTGGAAAGTGAACAGGGTCGCTATGAATAGTAGTTACTTGCTTCTCTGTTCCAACTCCATTAACGATTCCAGAGAACATGCATTTCAAAATAGATGTTACCGCTCATAACATGAAGTAGGACGGCTTTTAACATTAACATTAGATAACTAGCTCGCTAGCACAGCTATTGCTGCGTCCCTAACCACACACTTCTGTACTTCACACGCAACACTAATGAGTGCACTTCTGATGGTACATGCGCTATTTTTATGCACTGTTTAGTGTGCAGTTATGCGGTTTGGGACGTGGCGTATCATCAGTTCGTCTTCTGATGCTCCGACATGGAGGATGTGCTCCTGTGCCAGCTAAGGTCGGCTTTACAAAAAAGCACAGTGTGAAATGCTCACACACTTTTAAGGAATTTGTTCTTGAGACTGACATCATGCTTTTGTTCACTCTTCAGTAAGCGCTAATGTCAAAATGTTCCTAGTGAGCGTGAGAAAGACGCGTAATGACGCCACCAACTAATGGACTATTAAATTAGTTGCCAACTAATTTGATCATCAATTTTAGCCGACCAAGTCAAATAATCGTTGCGGCCCTAGTTGGAGTTTTATTTAAGTTGGCTGCTTCATTTTTTATAGCATAAGAAATACCGCCATATACCTCATGAAACATTGATATTTCATAATTTTCACTGTGGAAAAAGCATAAAAACACAAACTCTGAACACTGTCAACAGGCGGATTGTTGCTGTGTTTGAAGCAGTGTTTAATTACACTTAAGATTAATAGTCTTCAAAATCTGGGCTGAAAGAGAGTCGCATACTGAAAGAAAGAGGAAGACACTTCCAGGTCATCGCAGTGCTGTTCTGCTGTAATCCACGGTGCACACATGAAATCCAAGTGTAGAGAGCACGACCAGGCTCAGAATTTTTTGCAAGAGAAGGCAAAACATTTGCAAGGAAACGCAATGTCCGTACTGTTTTTTATTATTTTTTTTAACCATTACCCCTAAGGTTAACCATTACCCCTACTGTTCCCTATCCTCATGTTTTATACTCCTAACTTTAAGACCACTACACATGCCAAATAAACACCTTGAAACTAAGAAGGCCCTTAGTACTTATCAACATTATTTAAATCCAATCATGCGAGGAATTCAGCCATGAAAAAAGAAGAGCCACAGGCGCCTCTTGCACATTTGACTTATAAATCAAAGACTGCAACGTAACTTCAAGAAAGCTTCGTGTTTAGCTGCCCAGATTGGCCTGGATAGAGTGTAACAATGCTTTACATGAACTGATAAATGTGAAAAAATAACTAATAAACCAATTTGTTTACTTTGCAAGTGGAGAATACAGAGACGCCCTAATGGACTTCTTGACTTTTTTTCATTTTTTGTTCATTCACTTGAATTGATTAATAATATTAGTAATAGTAATAAACATTTATTAAACACATTATGCTTGCATTGATTTTGCCTTAGTTTATGTCAGTATTATTATAGTAGTGGGGATTGTTTGAATTAGACAATCAGCAATGAACGGGAATGTGGATGGAGGGAAGGAAATCAAGACTGGGAGGGATTAACATTAACTAGACGGAGAAAATGTTAATGAAATGTTAAAGTAACATTAAAAAATCTGAACTTTTGATGCTGAGTACTGCTGGCTGCACAAAAATATTAGGAAGATGTTTTAGGGTTCTACTAACTTTATGTTCTACTAACTTGCACCGAACATCCTAAGAAAATTAAGAAAACTGGAACTATAAACCTTTGAAGAACGTTTAAAGATAACATTCCAGGAATGTTCAGTGGTCAGTGTATGTAAAGTTGAGGTAATATTCTGGGGCAGTGGATTTAAGAAAGATGTTATGGAAACATAAAAATGGCCTTTTTTAAGTGTAGCATCATTCTCACAACCATAATAGAATGTTATAGGAATGTTTTCAGGTTCTCAGACCACATTCCTAGAACGTTAAATTGTTGCCAATGAGTTTGGGTTGATGTTTAGAGAACATTCTTGTAACTTGAATAAAACTGGACAGATTCATGGGGGAACATACCTATAACACATTCATACAACCAAAATGGAATGTTAGAGGAACGTTCAGAGAACATTTTTTTAACGTTGTCAGAACGTTCCAAGAGAACGTTCCTAGAATGTTAAATTGTTGCAAATAAGGTTGAGATGATGTTGTAGGAACATTCTGAGAAGAACATTAAGAAAACTGGACAAAATAACGTTGAGGGAACATTGCAATGCAACATTCCCACAACCAAAATAGAACTTTAGGGGAACGTTCTGAGAACGTAATTTTGTTAGCTGGGATCTGGCAGAAAAACTCAAAACTAAAGACCATTTTGTCATCTAAGATAACTCTATCAATATCAGAAAGCCTTTATATTTCTCTGTTAGTATGAAGAGTTTAAATTTCTGCTTTAATGTGGTCAACTAATTTATTTCAGCATCAGTGTGAAATGAATAGTGGTGCAAGTGTAAATAATATTTGAGCTGAAGAAACATAACAGTTGCTCTTTTGTGTTTGTTGTTTGTGTGCAGGAGGACAGATGTGCGGTTTTTCTGCTCCTCTGTGTAGGAGTTCTGCATGAAAGTCTGCGTGGAGCCACGTGGTTTTTAGCTCTGTGTTGCTGCCGCTGTCTCTGTATCTTCTCACTGCAGAACTTCAGACATTTCCGCACCCTCTGGGTCCTAAAGACCACTTTCTTCTTCCCCTCACTTCAGGTAAGGTGTTAAGTGTTTTTTTTAAACAAAATTACGTTCTCAGAATGTTCCCCTAACGTTCTATTTTGGTTGTGGGAATATTGCATTGGAATGTTCCATCAACGTAGTTTTTTTCCAGTTTTCTTAATGTTCTTCTCAGAATGTTCCCAGAACGTCACCTCAACCTTATTTGCAACAATTTAACATTCTAGGGAAAAACACTTGGCAGTGTTCGCTGAGGGAGTGGTTTCATACTTCTCACTGCAGAATTTCAAACCTTTCTGCACCCTCTGGGTCCTAAAGACCATCTCCTTCTTCCCCTCACTTTAGGTAAGGTGATAATTAAGTGACCGCGACCCTAGCTGGACTAAGCGGTTAACGACGATGATGTTGATCATGATGATAATTAAGTGTTTTTTTCTTAAATAGATTATTAGGTAATTTGTTATGTAGCCCATCAATATCCAGTATGTACTTTTACCAGTGATAATAATTAGAATAATTAGTTTCAGGTATTATGGAAATTGTATTAATTCAGTGTATTTACTTTATTGCTTGCAGAGTGTAAGATGTATGGGTTAAAGGTCATGGACAAAATACCTTGTCCTCTGACTGAAGTGCTTAGCTGCCTAGATACAAAAAAACAGGATCTATCCTCATATAGCGACTGACCTCGGTCACCTCGTCCTACACCCCCCCAGTACTTCTGCTTTAATAAAATATTGTAGTCGGGGCATCTCTGATCATGCACGTACAGCATGACATGAAGATGTCCCATGTACTCACAACCTTATATGGCTATATTAACAGAAGTCTGCCAAAGACTGAAAACAGCAGCTGTCAAACCTTCCCTTATTTGGTACCTAGGCAACACCCAGTTTGGGGACTAAAACCCCTATGTAAGGGAGAGCACTTCAGAGCGTGCACTCTCTGGTCTGTATCACTTTCATTTCCTAAATAAATAACTCTTGCTTATTCAAAACTTGTGATTTGTTCTGCTGTCAGGATTTCCATGACAGAACTTTGGGAATTACCATGACAATTACTTGGCGTCTCTGGGTGGGCCACACGTGTTCTGGGTTGTCGGATGACGGACGAATTGGAGGACGCTCATGAGATGAAAATAAACTCATCCTTAACCTCAATGAATTTTGAGTGAAGGCTTTTTGTCGTATCCGGCACCTGGGGGCTGCTGTGGCTCCCCACAAGAACCACCTAAATGGTACAATCTCTCTGATTGTGGAAATTCTGAAGGAATATGTGTTCTCATTGATTGGGCTGATTTGTAGAAGTTGCAGTAACTTTTACGTAAAGGGGAGTGAGATTCTGTGCCTGTATGACTGCATTAGGTTGGTTTTCCTTGTTTTTGGATAAAATAAGGCACATGGTTTTGACGAAAACATGTGGTGAGATATATAGAAGTACGCACTCCACAAGAGGTGGTGATCGCTGTGTATGAGGGAATATATCCACGAAAGGACTGGTCCGATCAGCCTGATCTGATTGAGAACACTGTAAGTTTGACAATTTAAATATAATTTAAAAGAGAGATTTTATATATATATATATGTATGTATATTGGTGGTGAAACCAATCCAGGTTTTGAATAACTAAATTCTGAACAAAATAAGAACAAAAAACAAAGCAAAATAGAGACAAAACCAGAATGTAAAGAAGGCTGTACTTATGTAGGACCTAATATTGTTTTCATGGGATTGAACTATGGAAAAGAAAGTTTGAAACAGTTTGATATCTGGGTTAATGAATGTGGATTTATAGAAAAAGGAAGTTTGAGACAGAAACCCTTAAGGAAACGTTGGAGATGAAAGAGAAATGGTCAAGAGAGCTGAATGAACAGGAGGACAAGGGAAAGGAAAGGAAAGGAAAGAAGAAAGTAGGGAAGTTTTCAGGGAGATTGGAAGGCATATGGAATGTGGTTAGACGAGGCTCATGAGAGAAATAAAAAAGCACAGGAAAAGCCCTCATCGTCTTCTCAGTGTGTTAAATTTCAGGCTGAACCAGACCTGGACTCCACCCCACCAAGACACTGACGTGCGGAAGGCAGAGCAGCAGAACAGGAACCAGCTGAACCGTCAGTCCTAACTGTCCCGGAACGACCCCCTCCGCCATATCTTCCCCTGACCGAAGTTTCATCAATGTCAAAAAATGGTTCCGGATGCACTGTTTCCCCCAACGAACCTTCATCTTCCCCGGACGAAGCAATCTCAAGCCCCATCCGACCTGATAAACGGGGTCAGGGTGCATGAAACCTTCAGCTGCCCCATGGTGGAAGTTTCTGGACCTGATGGAATGGTCTTGGTCCACCGCCCATGGACGATGGATGAAACTGTGTGTGGGATGGGAAACTGCAGTATGCAGTGCATGCTGAGAAACTGGTGAAGGAAGCTGAACATAAAAAGATGGAAAAGAGATCTAAAGACTTCCACAGTGCCGCCTTAACCATGTTTCAGCACTTCCAAGGCCAAGGTGGAGAGAGAGGAAGAGGATGTGGGGGAGGACGAAGCAGAGGCCAACACAGAGGCCAACACAGACTGAATCTGAAGGATGTGATCTGCTGGAACTGCAAGGAAAAAGGCCACTTTGCCAAAGACTGCACCACGGAATGGAAAGAAGAAGAGAAAGCCAAGGCTGACTGATGGGCAGAGGACGAGGATGGTGAGGCGACTGAGAACGGGAGGGGTAATGTAGACCAAGAACACACACATAACACAAATTTGTCATTTTTACAATACACAGCTTTCCCTTTCACCCAGCTGCCATGTATACCTCTGACAGTTGAGGGAAGGAAAATACTGGTTCACTCGGGAGCAACCCACTCAGTAATACAAATGGCTGAATTTCATGAGAATCCAAAACTCAGCAACTGCAGTGTTCGCACTGGGCACTCAGCAGTGGAACATTTCAGTGAACCATTGGGGTGCGAGACTGAGAAGGGGTGAAAAAAAGAATATTTTTTTTCTTATCTCAAGCACATGTCCCATAAACCTGTTGGGAAGGGATTTGATGTGTGCACTGAGCCTCTCCCTAGAGTCGGCACCACAAGGGGTCACTGTCATAGAAAATAGACTGAATTGTGTCAAAGTAGGACCAGGAAGTCCTCTCTATGTATATGAGTGGAAGTTGTGTCCCGACCCAACCACGAAAATGGCAGAATTTTTGATGGAAAAGGCAATAGAAAAATTGAGTGGGGAACAGAATATTGAGTATATGTCTCCTCCCGACCTCCATTGCACAGCTCATGTGCATGAGGGAAAGGACGAGACATGTGAAAAAGAATGGTTCAGGGTAAAGTGCCTGAATGAAAAATTGTGAATAACAGAACTGTACTGGGACAAACATTTTTGTGCATGCCTAGTCGAACTGACTGGATCAGATGAGCTTAATTGTGAGTGTAATCAGAAGCAAATGCTTTGTGTGGAACACTCAGCTCCACGCATCTCCCTAGCTAAACCAGCAGCAGTTACATGGAAGGCAATAGGCCCATGGATGCGGAGATGTTCTGATCCTAGGGTGTCCGACTGGACGCTCACAGAAACCCCAGGTATTTGGTTCAGTGCTAGTGCATTGTTGACACACAGTAAAAGGGGAATTGAACTTGCACCAGAATGTCAGACTACAGGCCTAGACAAGCACAACACCCACTTAGGGCTGGGCGATAAAACGATAACGATAATTATCGCGATATAACTTTTCCTCGATAGAGCGATACGACATGTTCGATAAATGTTCGATATAATACACCATTCTCACACTTCCACGATCAGCGAAAGCCTTGGTGCCGTTTTCTACCGCAAGGAAAGCGACACTACTGTGCTGTCGCCAGGAGAGGGCGCACTTCCGAGTTTTTGTACATGATTAGAGAGGGAGGGGGCCACGAGTAAGATGAGTCTTTAGCAACGGCTGAAACGCAGAGTTATACATTCCCTGTTTGAGTGGAGCGACAGGCGATCTGTTCTCCTGTGACCGAGTGTGAGTGACGAGGTCAGTGGTGTAACTTTACTGTCCTACAGAGAACTCACCTGTTTCTGTACATCCTAACCAGCTTTAGCAGCGTTAAATCACAATCCTCACAGCTACAGCGCTGTAACAGCGCTCGGACAGTCATATTTAAGTATGAGTGCATTCCCAAGCAACGAAAATGAAAGAAAGAAGTGAGTTCATGCAGTTACGGCGCTGATGTAAACAAAAGTAAACTGAGGAAGCTGTGAGGCATTGGAAAGCGGGAGAGCGCTAGCTTTCCAGGCTAGCTGTTTTTAGCAGCTGGCTAACTTAAAGCAGCGCTTCGTCACTGCACGACACGGAGAATTAATGACACTGTAGATCAAACTCGACACAAAAGCACCGCTTTCAGTTTAAACATACCTAAAAGGAGGACTCTGTTTGTCTGGTGTTGATATTTTGCGGTTCACCCCTTAAACTACTACAATTGAATATCCAGTCGTCGCTGGCTGGTGTCTGAATACTGTGATGTCATTTGTAGCGGGGTAGCCGAGCGCTCGTCACCAGCTAAAAATGATCTGTTTTCTTTCTTAAATTATGACTATTACAAAATAGCCATGCTTTTCCAGCTGGTAAAAACAGCTCAGCAGACACTCTCTCCCACTCTCCCATGACAGATTTGTGAAATGTTCCACTGTTT